GGCGATTTAGACAATTTTTGGCCGCAGGTGGCATACTTTAATTGCATTATTCACGCAAAGTTTTACCCGATATATCATTGTTACCTGATTTGCATAGTGGAAAGTGAAAGAATCAGATGGAATTGAAAATGGTTTACATGGAAGTAAGCGTGTTGTAGTCCGATTTCGCCCATTTTCGCACTATGACATAGAAACATGAGAAGAACGTTATGCACCGAATTTGGTTGAAATCGGTTGAGCAGATCTCAAGATATGTGTTTCACCTAAAAGTGGGCTGTGCCACGCCCACTGTCTAATTTTGAACGCGGTTCCTATAAAGTCATCTTATACCATCTCAGAGATAAAATTTAATGTCTCTGGCGTGTTTAGTGCTTGATTTATCGCGCTTTTAGTAGTTTTAACAGTACCGTTATAACTCTCTTTATGTCGCGTTATCAAGATCGGGTTGTGGCGAAAATCAATATGTTCTTCTGCCACAAGATAATAAAACAAAAAATGTAGTATATGCAGAAGTCCTTTAAAATAATAAAATTTACTTTAAATATTGTACAGATATAGTTTGGAACTCGAAAAAAAACATAGGTTTTATCCTGAAAATTCTGCGGGAACTCGACCATTCCGAAAATCCCGCAAGAACGGGAACTATGTGGGAAGAACCAAAAATCTGCCGGAAGTCACTATTCCACGCGGACGAAGTCGCGGGCAAAAGCTAACATTATATATTCTCACATCTTTTTTATGCGTCTGCTTGTTGGTTGCGCAAACATTTCATTTTATTGTTATTTTTCGGTAATCGGTAAATAAAGAATACCATTTCTAGTATTCTAATATTGTTCACCTAACGGTTGTTTGTATCACTAATCGTGATAGATAATAAGTTAGATATATTGAAATGACCAGGATGACGAGGCGAGTTGAGTTCCCGTTGACTGCCTGTCCGACCGTCCGTCTGGCCATGCAACTCATTAAAGAAATACGTCACAAGCATTTAATTTCACATACTATATGGCACGGAGGGACTTCATAGGAGCAGGTATCAAAATTGGACAATGGGAGTGGTACCGCCCACCATTATCTGAGGAACTACTTTACCAATTTTAACGAAATTTGATGTGTAACATTGTCTAGATTTATTCCTATAATACATGGTGAAAATGGGTAAAATCGTCACACCACATCTCCTTCTTATATATAACAATTTTAAATTCAATCTGATTCTTTCATTTTAGAGTTTATAAATCGAAAAACAATGACGTTATTGAATACAACTTTGCAAAAATAGTGCCTTTTAGGTATTCCACCTCCCTTCTTAAAATGGTAAAAAACTGACTTTAACTTTTCAAGGCCTCTGATACCGAATCAATCATCTTTGTGCCAAAAATGGAGAAAGTCGGTAGAATACTTTCCCTAGTCCCATATAACTAATTTAAGTGTTTTCAAACATGCACTTGACTTTATACCTTATATAGTGGTCACTCTTTAAATTATCTTTGAGGTGTCTCAAAGAGCATTTATTTCTGGTTATGATATGTCGTAATAGCAGAACTGGACAAAATCGGGTCAAAGTATTCCCCATACTTGTTATTATGTAAGAAAATATATAAGAGCTATATAGGAATTTCAAAATTTCGGTTGGCCTTATACCGTATATATTGGTCAATATGTAGGATATCTCAGCAAAATTAAGTGAAAGTATAATATATACTATAGTTTAATGCCAAAAATGTGTGATATCGATCCACGAACTACCCCAGCTCTCATATTATTCAAACAAGGATTTTCGTTATTTTAGCAGATTTGCCAATGTTAATTCAATAAGTAAAGACCTTCCTCAAATATACCCGATATAGCGATTTATATCCATTTAGATTTTCTATTTGACTTTAATGCATTTATGTTGGTAACGATGTGTAATGTTTTAATGAAATTATGTGTAAATTTTTTCTTACCAATAATGTGGTTTGTTTATATACCTAATATACTTAAACGTTCGGTTACACCCGAACTTAGCGCTTTGTTACTTGTTTTCAAACAAATTGCCGAGAAACTCGTTAGTAAAAGCATATATTTCGACTGCACGTTTTTATACTCTCGCAACCTGTTGCTACAGAGTATAATAGTTTTGTTCACCTAACGGTTGTTTGTATCACCTAAAACTAATCGAGTTAGATATAGGGTTATATATATATAAATGATCAGGATGAAGAGACGAGTTGAAATCCGGGTGACTGTCTGTCCGTCCGTCCGTCCGTCCGTCCGTCCGTCCGTCCGTGCAAGCTCTAACTTGAGTAAAAATTGAGATATCTTTATGAAACTTGGTAGACATGTTTCTTGGTACCGTGAGACGGTTGGTATTGCAGATGGGCGTAATCGGATCACTGCCACGCCCACAAAACGCCATTAATCAAAAACAAATAACTTGCCATAACTAAGCTCCGCAATAAGATACAAGACTGTTATTTGGTACACAGGATCACATTACGGAGGGGCATCTGCAGTTAAAACCTTTTTTTTTAAAGTGGGCGTGGTCCCGCCTCTAGTAGGTTTAATGTGCATATCTCCTAAACCGCTAATGCTATAATAACAAAATTCACTAGAAGCAAATGTTTTAGCACTTCTATTGACGGTGTGAAAATAGTTAAAATCGGGTGGCAACTCCGCCCACTCCCATATACGGTACTGTTAAAACTACTAAAAGCGCGATAAATCAAGCACTAAACACGCCAGAGACATTAAATCTTATCTCTGAGATGGTATAAATTGGCTTTATAGGAACCGCGTTCAAAATTAGTCAGTGGGCGTGTCACAGCCCACTTTTAGGTGAAAACCCATATCTTGAGATCTGCTCAACCGATTTCAACCAAATTCGGTGCATATCGTTCTTTTCATGTTTCTATGTCATAGTGCGAAAATGGGCGAAATCGGACTACAATCACGCTTACTTCCCATGTAACACCATTTTCAATGCCATCTGATTCTTTCACTTTCCACTATGCAAATCAGGTAACAATGACTATATCGGGGTAAAACTTTGCGTGAATAATGCAATTAAAGTATGCCACCCTGCGGCCAAAAATTGTCTAAATCGAACCAAAACTGTTCAAACCCCTAAGTACTAAATATGTGGACCCCAGTGCCTATAGTTGACCTTCTACCGAAAATATCAGTCAATCCACAAAGAAATCTCAAACGAGTATACCATTTGACTTTGCGAGAGTATAAAATGTTCGGTTACATCCGAACTTAGCCCTTCCTTACTTGTTAAATTAAGGGTTTCTCATAATGTTGCTTAATTTGACTGTTAACTATTTACGTTTTATTCAGATAAGCTTAAGTATATGAATTCTCAACTTATACATATGAGTATAACAAACATACAGCCATAGCTGTATCAAGCAGCAAATTTCGACAGAGCTTGAGTCTTTTGAAGAATTTATGTTTTAAATAAAAATGAAATTTATACTTCTTGGGTTTGTTAATAGTATATTTTATGGTTCAACTTACCATAGTGACCGGAAGTCCACCAGCACCGCCATTTGAATACGAATATGGGGATACCAGGTATCCCATATTGAAGCTTGACGCGTGTGATTCAAGTTTACCTGCATAAGAAAAATAAGCATAAATAAATTAAATAAAAGATTTATATTGAAATCATATATATTAAATTATTACAGTAACAAACCTAGACCATAAACCTCTATTTTTAGAAGTTAAAATATATCCAAATATAATTCTTTAATTTTCAGCTGTATGATAGTTAAGCATTTCTAAACTCAAAACTATTTGAGAGGTTTAGTCCCTACAGCAAAAGCAGTTTTATTTTACGCCTCGTAATTTTATGGGAAAACATCCAGTTTTGAATTAGTTTTTCATACACGGAATTGCTGCCTTAATTAGAGATATAAATCTAAGAACCGTATGATCTCTAAAATATTACAGAGACACCTTAAAGCTTCTCTTGCAGTTCCATCTAGAAGAAAACGCCCCCTTGAATGAGGTATATGCACAAAGGCTTTGGTTGCTCTTTACCGGAAAATTCTCCTTTAATGTTTACAATTGCCTTCACATGGACAATTCGAGTTGGACAATTTTCTATATTCTCTTTTATATCATATTCCCAAAATTTATGCGCTTTATTTAAGCGGTACACAAAAATATTATTCATATAATTTGTATCCTATTCACGCTTTTTTAGCTAATTTAGCTAAATATCCCAAGGCAAGCAAGATTGGAATAGATCTTATAACCAATGGTTATATAAAAAAGAGGTTAAGAAAGCAAAAAGAAATTATTTGAAACCTTTTTGCAATAATATCGAGAATACGGTGGAAGCGTCTCGAATTAGGAAAATAATGGCAGAATCGGTGCATAGCATTGGATACCTTAAGAAGCCAGACGACAGCTGGACGGTATCAAGTAAAGAGTCTTTAGGCCTACTTATGGATACCCACTTCCTGGGTCACTTGAGTAAACAGAAGACAGTGGAGTAGATATAAATTTCATTCCTGTAGATATAGTGTCAGAAGAAGTTTCAAGCCCTTCAAATCGGGCACTTTAATACTAATCTCAGGGGTAGGAAAGATTAAAAAATCTCTGGAGGTTAAAGAATACACTCTAGTTACCTGCTTAGACATAGAAGGGGCTTTGAACATCTCTGAACCTTTCAGAAAATTTATGGAACAGAAGCTCACGAGCAGGTCAATTATTTCAACGCTGGGAGCTTCAACGATGTGCAGATCTGTTCAAAGAAGAACACCTAAAGGAGGCGTGTTATTTTCACTTCTCTGGATCTAAACAATTAAATTGTTGCTAGGTCTAGAAAAGAAGGGGGTACATGTTGTGGCTTACGCTGATGATGTGGCCATTTCGGTTAGATGTAATTTCCCGAATACCCTGGCTAACCTTATACAAACAATATGAAATTACATAAAACGTTAGGCCGTATCGTGCGGACCAAACCTAAATACTAATAAGACGGTGCTAGTATTGATCACTAGGAAACACAGTACTCCAAAGTTATGCCGCCATTATTAAATAGTACCAGACTAACAATAGGAGATAAGGCAAGCTACTTATGACTAATTTTAGATAGGAAGCTTTCATGGAAACCAAACTTAGACGCTAGGGTGAACAAAGCAGCTACAGCACTTTACACCTGCAAAAGAGATGGGGGCCCAAATGGCGATTAATGGCTCATTGGCTCTACACAGCAGTTGTTAGGCCGATTATGACATATGGTATAATGGCATGGGGGCCAATAATGGAAAAGCATACAAAGAGCAGCGTATAGGGATCAGTGGAGCTCTTAGAACAATGCCAAGTCAGGCGCTAAACTATCATTTTCCAATTACTGTCAACGGACTTGTTCTGTAAGTAACTGGCAGCGAAGTCAGCTCTAAGTCTAAGGGAATCCTCTCAATTGGTCATCTGTAAAATGAGGCATTCTATGATACTTAATAATTTCCCATTTCTACCCATTACCACGGATTTTTGAAATCCTACAGAATGTAAACTAAATTCGGTCCGCAATATTGCCTTCTCTTCCAGAGAAGAGCGGTAAAGGTGCGAGGTGGACAGAGACGCAGGGATGAGCATCTATACGGATGGATCCAAACTAGATAATCAAGTGGGAGGTGGTGTCTTTTCAGCAAAATTAGATACCAAAATCGTTTTCCGTTTACCAGACCACTGCAGTGCCTTCCACCAGAGATCACTGCAATCAAAGAAAGTCTTGTTGTTCTGACAAGAAGTGGGCTCACAACAAGGAGACTACTATTTATATATACGGATAGCCAAGCGGCTATGAAACCACTGAAGTCTCCTAGTATTTTGTCAAAGATAGTAAAATAATGCCTTGATATCTTAATGGATCTAACATCCTATTTTACGATAAACCTGCAATGGGTTTCAGGGCACATTGATATCCGTGTTAAATGTGAAGCAGATGAACTAGCCGGAACAGTTACCACCCTACAATTAGACTTCAAAAAGGAGGGAATTAATATGCCTCTGACCACTTGTAGATTTGGCTGAATCTCGGTGGAGTCAGTCCCTGATTTGCTCAACACGCAGGCAAACTTGGCATGAATGGAACAAAAGACGCACAGAACTATGGTACATTTAAACTTCAATTATTTGTGTACTTTGGGATCTACGTTGAAATTTATTTATAATTTTAGACACACAAAATTAAACATATGTACAAGTCATAATAATATGTAACATCTCTCCAACGCCTATGGGGGATAGCGTACACCACTAATTGTTATGCGTCTATATTTCCCCTTTATATTGCTATTTTTAACGAATTTAAAACTGGCCATGTGAATTCTGACGACTGACTGTTTTGCCAGATCGATAAGACAAATAGGCCCCATAAGGAGGAAAATTTAGGAAGATAAAGCTAAACAGATAGTGAAAAGTGCTCACAGATCCGGCGATGAATCAAATAAAGTTAAAGTAGATAGTGTACCCGTGTGGTCGTTAAAATAAATACATATACCTATATTAGGTTTGCTCACAGACTTCTAACCGGAAATTCGAATACGCAAATTATATAAATTAGAGCGCGTGTTTGATAAAAAGCTTTAGGTATATTTTGAAACGAGAGAAATTTTTAGCAGTCACCATGCATAAAATTAATTGTTGTGCAAATAAAAAAAAATGGAAAAGCTTATAATAATAATTTCATGCCATTGCTAATGTCACTACTCATTTCACAATTTGAGAGCATCTCAAAGCGCTATTGATGTAACCAAGCTCTTAGAATGCGGACCAAGCAAACAAAATTGACTTATAAACTGCTATAACTAAGCTACAAATTAAGATATACCTATGTAAGTATGTACTTGTATATAATTTGGTACAGGGCTTCAAAGTATGGAAGGGCATTTCTGGTTTTAAAGATTTTTAAAATGTTAGCGTGGGCTCGCACCTAATAACTTTTAAGTATATATTTTACAAACCACTGCAGCTAAATTAACTAAACATGATGAGAATCGGACTCTCCCAAGAATTATAAATTTCTCAGTCGCGATGGTTAGGAAGGGCCGCAAAAATTGGACAGTGGGCGTTAATGAAATCTATATCTCAGGAAATATTCTACCAAAATGATCAAAATTTGAACTTATGCGTCTATATCAGTCAATAATTAAGATGTTAATATTAGCAAAATTAAGTGAACGCTTAATTCCGAAAATGTATGTGCGATATAGTAATTATATTAAAATTAAACTTAAAAAATTAAGTTAAGTGGATTTCTTAAAAATAATGTGGTTTAGTGTTGAATATGAATGGAATCGGTTTTGATGTTGGCCTACACCTTATCTCCGTACTAATCGTAAAATGATTTCCAATTAATTGGTGATTTTTCTCCATATACCCAATATATTAAATTTAGCTTTTTTTGGGTTGGGCTTATCATCAAAATCAACATAAAATAATAATTTGATATACTTTTTATAAAAACCAATTTATTTGATATTCATTAAAAGACATTAAATAAGTATTTTTGTGAAAATAAAAGTGATTAAGTTTCCGACAATAACAATTAAACAAAACAAAACATGATAATAAAAAATGCATTGGGAAAAGTTTGCATACAGGGTACATAAGTCTCATTTGAGTTAGCTTGATTTTAATATACTATTATTATTATAAAAGTCGTCTTGTTTTAAATATTTTCCATTTGGTGGAAATAATGGACGCATTTTTTGGTTTGGGAAGTCGACTTCAAGATGAATTCAGAAGCGTTGCTTTTAATTAATTTATTTGTTTAAATTTGTTTTTGTAGTGTCTAAATCAGCTGTGATAATGTAATAAATTTGCCTACTGACAAACAGATGGGGCTAAATCAGAGTCGCCCAAGAAGAATTCGAGTAGATTAGATTCAAATATCCTCGGTGACGAGATTAACAAGTTTCACTTATATGGCGAAATCTTGCTAAATCCAGTAGATTAGTGAAATAATCTACTCAAAGCCTTACTCTTGTGATTAAATGTCCGTCGGAACATGGTATAAGTTAATAAGATACCAAGTTTGATTGTAATCCATTCGGTTTCTTCGAAAAAATAACGTTGAATACTTTCGCAAATAAGATACCAAATTTGATTGTAATCCATTCATCACAAGGGTGTTTTTTTCGAGGTATAGAACTTTAAGTTTGCATTACTGTTCAAGATGGCGCCCGATTTAACAGCTGTCAAGTGATTTATTATCAGTTTGGTTGGGCAATTTATAATGATGGCCAGAACGTTACAGTCAATGGTTATTATTTCGTTCCTGAATTGAACAACCATGATGTCCAGGAGCTGTGGTTCCAACAAGACGGCGCAACATGTCACACAGCTCGTACCACAATCGATTTATTGAAATACACGTTTGGTGACCGCCTAATTTCACATTTCTGACCTGTGAATTGGCCTCCAAGATCTTGTTATTTAACACCGCTAGACTACTTTCTGTGGGGTTATGTAAAGTCATTGCTCTATGCGCACAAGCCACGTTGGAAATCACATTTAAAATTTAATGCCACACGATTATCTTTCGGATAAATAAAATTCATGTCAATCGAATAATCCATCGTTGTTTTATTGCAATTTAAAGTTCGATACCTCTAAAAAAAACAACACATCTTAATTTTTTATCAATTCGAAATTCAACTAGTCTCGTCATCCTGATTATTTATATATACATAACGCTATATCTATGTCGATTGATTAGGATTGATTAGATAGGATTAGGTGTTACAAACAACCATTTGGTATCAGAACTATTATTCTCTGTAGGAACATGTTGCGATAGTATAAAAAAGTTTTTATAATTCATGCTGAAACGCAGTACTTAAAAATTAAATTAATTAAATTGAATATACTTACTGAACACGGGACTTATATCCGGTCTCGATGGCAGTTTTCCACTCTTTTCCTAGAGACAAAACAACAAATTTTGTTAAAAGGAAAGCATTGAATTATAAAATTAAGCTACCAGGCAAGCTGACAAGTTCGTACCGTTTCTATGTGAGGATGGCAATAGAATTGATTCTTTATACTAAGTAGTCAGATTATTAAAAAAGCTACTCAGAACAAAACATGCCTTGATGCACCGCTATGCTACAGGCAAAGTAAAATTTAAATGCAGGACATATAAAGACCGGAGGCGCTGAAAGCAGTAGACGTCCAAAAAGGCTATTACGACTGAAAACATCAGAAAAATTCATAAAGTGATTTTGGACGACCTGAAAATCTCCGTCTATCATCTTTTCATCGACTATCTTGAAAAAACAAAACCATTATGTGTAACAATTATATGAGGTTATTGGAAATTTTAAAGGACGAAAACCGTGTGACAAATCAAAGTAATTGAAAGTGAAATGGAATGAATTGGGCTTTACATTGCTTCTGCACTAGTAACATTTTTTGTCCTCACGACAAAACTATCTTCGCTGAAAAGAAACTTAGTGACAGTGGTCGGCGAAGAGTAGCGAATCGAACAAACCCGTTTCTTCAAATAAACTGGTAACACTGGCGGTGCAAACTTGCTCTACCATGCATACGAAAGAGGGTTGCCTTTGTTTCTTTGAGAGAAGCAAATCTTATTTTCGCGCGAAAAAATGTTTACTAAAAAATATTTTTATTTTTACTTCGCTTTATTGTTTCTCATATGAGCCATTCGCAATAGTAAAAATGGTCTAAAATTCATTTTAAAAAAATTAATAGCTTTGATGATAGCGGTTATATCACTTTAATAAAAGTCCGCATACTCTCTTGTATCGAATTCAACTCGATAACTTTTGCATGTAAATTTAACAAGACATAGCGAGTGTAGAACGGGTAAATCCAAAAAGCTTATGTGTAGTAATCAAATCAAATTCTGCTAAGGAGTTTTTGTTTTTAAGATACTATCTTTTCAGCCCGCCTGGCATACATTTTATGTAAAAGTAATAGTATCAAATAGTTCGTATACATTCGTATATATATAAGGAAAGTTTTAGGAATCCAATTGTATAATTGTATTGTATAATTTCTATTAGTCTTTTTAAGGGGTTAGGGGTAGTCAGAATTTTCAAAAAATATATATTTTTCCATTTTCTCAAAGTATAATATCTATTAAATTCTTTATTCTCTGAAATTTTGAAGTAAATCAGACAATATTTTTCGAGTTATTCGATAACTAGAAAAGGGTTCTCGGGCGCTCGTGAGCGTTAATTAAAATTGAGTATAATACTTCAAATGAGTTTTTTTCAAAATTATGTTTTTTGTACTGGTGACCACTGTATAAAGAATTAATTGTTGTTTTCTCCCGAAAATTAAAAAAAAAAATTCCTAACGCCACCATTTTGTTATAAAAAAAGCTTCGATCAAGCACTAGATTATATAAGAAACCTGTAAAAAAAATATTAAAAATTGTAATTATCTCATGTCTCTGACTAAGCCCACTGACCTAACCCCCTAAACATAAATTAAAAAGTATAAATTTTAGGGAATTTAATGCACCGTTATAAAGTAAATTCGCATCGACTTACCTCACTTTCTGTCAAATCGATCAAGCTCGATTTTTCCTCAAGCAAATTCTCTGATGAAATTTTTTCTTCTTCTCGATCACCTTCATCTTTGAAAATTTTTACTTCATCGGTGCTACCCAAATCGTCGCTAGACGAGCCACCATGTCGTGAATGTGAACTATGACTATTGTGTGGCATTATGATTAGTTGTAAATTTAATTATTAAATTTCTATTTGTAAATGTTTTCGTTTTGGTATTTTTCTTACACATCCGTTTTAGCTACTTGTTGTAATTTACATATAAAATAATAATAACAAAATCGTTTTGTATACATCAATTTGAATTGATATTTTATTATTGTTTGAAGTATAAACAAGCACACATTTTATGCTTTTATATATATATATATTTATACTTTTATCATTGAATGAATTAATTATAAATTTCTTGTGAACTTTTGACTTTGTTTTATTATTGCCTCAACTTTATTTTATTTTAAACGTATTTATTTGTTTTGCTTAGATACCTGAAATGCACAAAAATAGTCCTACAAATTGCTATACAACACTTATGTACTTCGATATTTCGGCAGAATAAAATAAAAAATGTATACTTTTTATTGTTGATTTGGCATTGTGGTTTGCGTTTATATTGTAAAATTTTTTTTTTTCATATTATTATTTTATACTATTACTATTTGTATTGTATTATATTTTATGTTGTTTTGTTGATTTTGCACCGATTTCCGTACCTGAACTCATACATTTACCATGTACTTATATATAAGACTGTAGCGCGTATGTAGAAACATATGTTTATACATATGTTTATACATATGTGTATATGTATGTACACTTGCTGGTTGAATTTTACTCAAGGGATATTATTTTTTATTTATCACGTGTTATTTTATTTATTTAGTTAAGCACCTTTGTTTTTCTCGCGTTTCATTTATATTTATCTTATATATTTGTTTAAATTTTTCCTACTTTAGATTTGGTATTTTATATTGATGTTTTTTTTTTTTTGCTTACTTTTCACTGCCGCATTTCACCGCCCATCAGCATTTCTGCCTTCTTAACTACAAAACAATGGCGGCAACTTTGTATGCGTCGTCTACACCGTTAAATCCCTTCGCTCTCACTCACTGTATGTATGAACGCAACGCAATATGGTGCGCTCACAACTTTTATTGTAAAGATATATATATGTGCTACCATACATTCATATTTATTTGTACGTATTTAATACCAGGTAGATTCACGCTCTTGCTACACGATCGCAATGCATCTAGGCGAAAAATATCAGACAGCAATTTGTGTATATGAATGCAAGCCTGTATTTACACTGACTTAGTTTTATTTGTTAAGTTGCAACTTCTCTTTAACTACACATTTCTTTCATTTACCACTTCCTATCCCTTAGGACTTATAAACATATATGCTCAGTGCATCAGTGCAGCCTCATTTACAAAATCATTGTCAGCATCGTTCTGGAGTTCAAAACAAGAAGCCTGCCTTATTATCAAGAACATGACGATTATAATATGCACAACATTATCACCACATCATTATCACATCAGCAACGTCGCTGCATGCATTTTATCTCATCGTATTTTTATGAAAAATATAAGCGCTCTGCTTGTTTGTTTATTGTTTTCGACATTTTCGGTTTTTTGTTTTGTATTTAGGATTATGTATGTGATTTCCGTTTGATTTATTTGTAGCAGTTTCCTTTACACGTCTAGGTTGCTCATACAAGTATATGCTGTGTTCTTTTACGCGCCTACTTGACCGTTGCCTTGCATTGCGCACACGCACGCATTCCGTAATCCGCTACTGGCAAAGCGCCCACAATTCTTCTTCTGTGATGTTCGAATATGTTTTGTGGTGCACTTTCCGCATACCTATGTATTTCTCCAACAAGGTTCAACAATTTTTGAGGCACTTAATATGTCTGCCGCCTGCGCTTGCGCTTGCTCCTACAATTTTTGGCTCGTTTGTGTGAACGTTGTTTGAAAGCTTGTGCGCCTGCCTTCTTCTTCACATCGATTCCGACTCAAGTGTAGCTGTAATAAGAAATTAGCAGCAGATGCCGCCAAGAAGAATGAAAGGGAAACAATTTAACTTCAACAGTAAACACATATGCGTGTGTGTAGATATGTCAGTTATATGATATAACAAGTAAGGAAGGGCTAAGTTCGGATGTAACCGAACATTTTGTACTCTCGCAAAGTGAAATGGTATACTAGTTTGAGATTTCTTTGTGGATTGAGTGATATTTTCGGTAGAAGGTCAACTATAGAACTGGGGTCCACATATTTAGTATTTAGTAACTTGAACAGTTTTGATTCGATTTCGACAATTTTTGGTCACAAGGTGGCATACTTTAAACGTATTATTCACGCAAAATTTTACCCCGATATAATCATTGTTGCTTGATATGCATAGTGGAAAGTGAAAGAATCAGATGGAATTGAAAATGGTGTTATATAGGAAATAGACGTGGTTGTAGTCCGATTTCGCCCATTTTCGCACTATAACATAGAAATATGAAAAGAACGTTATGCACCGAATTTGGTTGAAATCGGTTAAGCAGGATCTGCTATGGGTTTTCACCTAAAAGTGGGCGGTGCCACGCCCACTGTCTAATTTTGAACGCTGTTCCTATTAAGTCATATTATACCATCCCAGAGATAAAATTTAATGCCTCTGGCATGTTTAGTGCTTGGTTTATCGCGCTTTTAGTATTTTTTAACAGTACCGTTATATGGGGAGTGGGCGGGCTTGTCACCCGATTGCACCCATTTTCACATCGTCAATAGAAGTGCTAAAAAGATTTGCTTCCAGTGAATTTTGTTATTATAGCTTTAGCGGTTTAGGAGATATGCACATTAAACCTATTAGGGGCGGAACCACGCCCACTTAAGAAAAAATTTTAACTGCAGATGCCCCTCCCTAATGTGATCCTGTGTACTAAATAACAGTCTTGTATCTTGTTGCGGAGCTTAGTTATGGCAATTTATTTGTTTTTGATTAATGGCGTTTTGTGGGCGTGGCAGTGGTCCGATTACATCCATCTGCAATACCAACCGTCTTACGGTACCAACAAACATGTGTACCAAGTTTTATGAAGATATCTCAATTTTTACTCAAGTTACAGCTTGCACGGACGGACGGACAGACGGACAGACAGTCACCCGGATTTCAACTCGTCTCTTCATTTTGACCATTTATATATACATAACCCTATATCTAACTCGATTAGTTTTAGGTGATACAAACAACCGTTAGGTGAACAATACTATATTACTCTTTAGCAACATGTGCGTGAGTATAAAAAGTAAGTAAGTAAAAATATCATACAAGAACTTGACTTTGATCGATCAGTTTGTACGACAGCTATATGGTACAGTAGTCCGATATTGGCAGTTCCGACATATGGGTAGCTCCTTCGAGAGAAAAGGACGTGTACAAAATTTCAGATCGATACTTCAAAAACTGAGAGGTTGAATTCGTTCAAGAGAATATGCGAATTCTTCATTAAAGTGGTATAACCGCTATCGTCAAAGTTACTAAGTTTGGTTTGCAGATTTTAGGCCAGTTTTACCACTGTGAATGGCTCACATAACAAATTATTCACAAAAATTAAAACATAAATTTTTAACCTTTCAACATATAGAGTTTGTTCGGTTTGCCTATAATATAATGCAACGCACGATTTTTAATTTTTTTTTTTAATGCTTTGTTCCGCTGTATCGCAAATTTATATACAAGATATGCTAAACGTTCCATATTTATGGCGCGATCAAGAATCCGCGATCCGGATTTCAAAATATTTAAATACTATGTGATATGGATCGCGATCTATCAATTTTGCAACTAAATGTTCAATAAATACCGAAATCCTGGATCGTGGTCAATTTAAGTAGTTTATATACATTGAGCTGATGTCGATAATACCGAATTTCAAAATTTTAACCAAAATGCAACTGGGACGTAAACCACAATAGGTGCTTAATTGAAAAGAAATTGTATTAATTCCATTTCCTGCAGGGTTATACATATAATATATGTGTACAAATATACAAACATACTTGATAATAGTTTGTGAATACTAACGAAAGTGACAAAGTGATAATAGCCGTCTTCGCCACTTTTCTGCTCACTACGTTTTAGCGCTGTTTTCTTGTTAAAAGACATGTGAAACCAACAACAAAGTTAAATGTTCAGGTCAATGAAACAGGGTATGTGGATTCCACATTGAAATAGTATATCCGCTTGCTATTCTGTCTATAGTTGTGTGGTTTCATTTGCCGCTCTTAACGATTCAGCGAATCGAAGGCACCTAATATTTGATCGCCATACTACAAACATATGAATGTACTTATATTATATATAATAGGGAAAGATACTACATCCATTTTACAGGATTTATCCAACACACATTCATATGTACATGTGAATATATGGTATACTAACACGCTAACTACAAAAGAGTCGCAACTCGAAAAATAAAAAAAATTTCCGGAGGAGCAAAAAACAGTTCCTGTAAAATTATTAAAATTTTAAAGTGAAATCGTCGTCCGTAATTAAGAATACCTATTTCAGTTTAACATCGAAATTAAGAGACATTTTCGAGATAAGACATCGAATAACAGTGTGATAATCACAATTATTTAATCGAAAGTGACACATTTCAAATAATACAGATTAACCGTAGTAATACAACAATACGTCGAAATGACGTACTTTTTTTTGTTTACGCTCTCAGACTTTCATTTGAATTCGGAGCATCTTCAAACACGTAGTTTGCTCGTCGGTCTCTATATGAACCTCAACAGACAGAAAATGAATGAAATAAATGGTCTCAGTCAAAAAAAAAAGAATAATTTAACAATCTTTAACATTCTTATAACCTTTTAAACGAAGATACGTAATTTCGACGTATCGTTATCTTTGCAGTAGAATAAAATAGCGTTATCTTTCTAAGGCTAAACCGACTTTTTTCAGATAAAGAAACACAACTTCGCAGAATACAACAGAAAATTTACGATTTATTTCAGCAATAGCGACACAACTGCAAATAGTTGATACTTCACAAGCGAAGCAAACGGGCAATTAACACAAATGTTGACCTTGACAATTGACACAAAAGTTGAAAAGTTGACGGTGATTTTCCAGTTAAGTAAGATAGTGATGACAATGAAATTTTTTGGGTAGATAAGTGCATTAAGCATTGAAATATTGAAAATAATAAGTTTTGAAAATTTTTGAGTTCTGATTTTTTTGTAGTTAGTGAGCGATATATTATTTCCAGGTTTGAAGTATTGGTTTTATTGTAATTCCATAAAAAGTATCATCAAAATTCTCGGAAAATTTTATTAGAATACTTATATAAAAGGGAGAAGACATATCTATCAATCCTTCCTTTCAACAAAAATTTCTAGGGAAATCTCATTTGTTTAAATTAATTTAAATATACTTATATAAAAAGTAGATATATTTTTTAATACTTGCTCTCTCAATAAAATAGGTAGTACGATAACACTATAAGCTACAACTAAAAGCAAATACACTTCTGTATTGAGAAAGCAAATGTATTATACTATTTTTTACTATGTATCACTAAGAAACTTATTGATTGTATAAGATTAAAAAATTAAATGCAAATAAGTACATACATATTAAACGAGCTGCAAAGAAGCGGCATAGAAGTTTGAAGCTTCTTTGAAACCAAATAATAACACTAGACGATTTCTTACTAATTTAACGTCTCTGATTTCAAATCTACCCTCAGCTTCTTTCTGCCAGTTCTAGTTTTGGTGATACAGGTATTTCTTGAAATATCGTTACTCGGCTTACTTGAATTAATTTTTAGGGCAAAAAATTACTGAATTTCATAAATAAATCGCTAGGTCTACATTAAAAAAACTTGTTTAAATTATACAAATAGTTTTCATGCTGTTTGTGGTGACTATATGCTTAAAGAATAAAATACATAGAAAATAACTGGCTGATATGCGTCGATCTTCAAATGGTAAATTTTCTTTTGGGTCAACAATTGGGAGTCTGTTTAATTTGTTTATGGGAAGCCGAGCCAAGACAGAACACTGGACTAAAAAAGTTTGGCCTTTGAGAGTGAATATAGTACTGGGTAGTATGAATGTGATGAATGCACCTTTAGTAGCCAGAGACCGCATTATGTTACCCCCTCCACAATATATGTTTCAACAGTATCAGTACAATATTTCCGAAATTGAGCTCAGAAAAAATTAAAGCAGGTATTTTTGACCGTCCTCAAAGCAGGGCAATAATAAAGAACTAGCATTTTCTGATTGTATGACAGATAAAGAGAAATCTGCATTGATTGAATTTATTTGCGCTGTGCAACATTCTTAAGGAAATAAAAAGTCTCCAGACTACATTTAACACATGGAGCAGCTCATCTTGCACTTCCAGATACTAGGATGCAACATGAGCATCAAAATGCACTCCTTCTTCAGCTATTTAGACCGCTTCCCAGAAAAAATTTAGGCCACTTAAGCGAAGCACTAGGATAACCCTTTTATCAGGAATGAAAATAGCTACCATACACCACAAGTATTTACTGCTGGAGCATTAAAACCAGACCGATGTTTCTAATCACATAATCCCAAGAAAAATACATAAAAGAAATTTTTATGTTAAGTTAGAGCAATATATTTTTAATAATAAAATTGTAGTATTTTGGGCTAAAAATATAATATGTTCATATTTCGAAAACTAAAGCTGCTAAGGCAAAACTGATTACAGATTTAAAATCATCGTGGCAAAATCATACAAAATCGGGTAAGAAACTTCATAAAACAAAACTACTGTGTCTCATGGTAATTAAACAGCAGAGCATAGAAAAAATAGTCAATATGAGGCAAGAAAAAAGGAATAATCAAGATAATCGAAAAAATACGAAAGAAAATGGTTTAAATAAGAAAAAGGCTAGGTAAAATAAAAGCAAAAACTAAACAGCAAGTCTCAAATAAAGTCGGAGCAGTACAAACTGCTCATACCCTACACACGTTGTAAATAT